AAGAGTGTCCTACAAGAGTGACCCACAAGAGTGTCCTACAAGAGTGTCCTACAAGAGTGTTCCAGAAGAGTGTCCCACAAGAGTGTCCTACAAGAGTGTCCCACAAGAGTGTCCTACAAGACTGTCCCACAACAGTGTCCCACTAGAGTGTCTCACAAGATACAGGAGTATCCCACAAGAGTGTCCTACAAGAGTGTCCCACAAGAGTGTCCCGCAAGAGTGTCCCACAAGAGTGTCCCACAAGAGTGTTCCACAAGAGTGTCCTATAAGAGTGTCCCACAAGAGTGTCCCACAAGAGTGTCCCACAGAGTGTCCCACAAGAGTGCCCTACAAGAGTGTCCTACAAGAGTGTCCCACAAGAGTGTCCCACAAGAGTGTCCCACAAGAGTGTCCAAAAAGAGTGTCCCACGAGAGTGTCCCACAAGAGTGTCCCACAAGAGTGTCCCACAAGAGTGTCCCACAAGAGTGTCCAAAAAGAGTGTCCCACGAGAGTGTCCCACAAGAGTGTCCCACAAGAGTTTCCGAAGAGTGTCCCACAAGAGTGTCCTACAAGACTGTCCCACAACAGTGTCCCACAAGAGTGTTTCACAAGAGTTTCCTACAAGAGTGACCCACAAGAGTGTCCTTCCCAGAAGAGTGTCCCACAAGAGTGTCCTACAAGAGTGTCATTTGGATGTATTAGTTTTTCGAACGTGTTTGCATTCGGGTTCGTGGGTTCCATCTTGCTATTTTAGTCTATATATATATATATATATTGTCAAGTGTCAAATGGCTAGTACTACTATACTGTATTGCAGACTAGACTGCAGTAGGATGGACACAAGTTTTCACGAGTCCTTTTGGATAAAGAGGGCAGGGGCAGAGGGCAGTGGTGTCATATTGAGAGTGTGTCGCTATTAGATTGGAGGCCATCGTTGAGGCCACCGCTATTAGGTTGGAGGCCATCGCTAGTAGGTTGGAGGCCATCGCTATTAGGTTGGAGGCCACCGCTATTAGGTTGGAGGCCATCGCTATTAGGTTGGAGGCCATCGCTAGTAGGTGGAGGCCATCGCTAGTAGGTTGGAGGCCATCGCTAGTAGGTGGAGGCCATCGCTAGTAGGTGGAGGCCATCGCTAGTAGGTTGGAGGCCATCGCTATTAGGTTGGAGGCCATCGCTAGTAGGCGGGAGGCCATCGCTACTTGGTTGGAGGCCATCTCTATTAGTAACCTTTTCCTTCTTTGCAGTTTGGTTCGAGAAGAGAATGGAGAAGAAGGAGCCTGATTCTGAGGGTGGCCAGCTTCGCCGCCTTGATTCACACCGCGTCCCTGGTAAATGCACTGTGCATTTGAGGTACAAGAATTTCAATTCAGTACTCCAGACAGTCCACGAGCAGTTCTCTGCTTTGGATGCAGTTCACGGCCTACATACATATACATAGTGTGTGTATATATATACACATACAAATTACAATTTGTGAATTTCAAGTCTGCAAGAGCAATATTATGTTGGATGTCAACGTGCTCTGAGGCAAGCTCTATTGACACCGCTGAGTTTGAATGGGGTTCTATTGGAGGTGACATTCACAATGCAGGGCGCTATTGTGTGGTAGGTCTACTCCTCATGAGCCTCCACACAGTGCAGTCATTGTGGTCTCGCTATTGATTTGCGCTCCGTTCCAAGTATTTTTTTGGACTCTCCCAGTCTAAGGCCGCAAGCGTTCTGAAGCAGAGCGTGGGGAGATTACAAGCGTCACAGAGGAGGGGCAAATGTAGCATGCCACAACAGTCCCAAGAAGGCAATTGAAACCACTGTACCTTACACACTCATATTGCTTGCATACACGCACACGCACACAATTGTTTAGACACATTGTGTATATCAACAAAAATATATAGACACGTATTGCTTTTAGACTCGCTGGCACCTGCTTACTTCAATTCATTTCTACCTTGAGTTTTGGGCAGTGGTGTTTTTTTCTTTCAAGGACAAGTCTGGTGCAACATGGGTGGAGCTCAACGTGCAGCTGCTTCAAGTGACAGTTCGAGGTCGATATGTGGCTGCCCAAGTCGCTAAGGAGGTTAACACCCTTCCATTGCTGCTGCATGAGAATTGATAAACTGCTTCGGTGATACCAACAAGCTGTTGATGACACTCCTTTTGTGCTGGTTTTCATTCGAAGGGCTTTATATAGAGCCGCTGCATAAAAGCACGTAGCAGTAGCATGCCTGAATCTCCTACTCAACCTTCCGCCTCTCTGAAGTCGAGGTGACCCCACTGGAGGAGGAGACCTCTGGGCACTCGGACTTCAGGGACATTCTTCGTCTCCGTGGCCGGGAAGCAAAAACGGTGCAATGTCCAAAGCTGAGAATTTTATATACACAGCTGGCACGCTACCGAGAATTTCCCGAGAAGAATATGTTTATTTTTTACATTTTGCTCAGGTGCAGCGCTCCTTTCAACTGATCTTGTGAAGGTGAGGGAGCTGCTGTCCTTTCCATTCAGGACATGACACGAGTTGCGGTATGTTGCTGTCCTTGTGATTCTATCAGATTGGCAGATTGGGTTCATTCGTGACCTAAGTGGCATGAAGTGGCGGAGGACACTTCATTGGATGGAGCGTCCAAGCAATGCATGGAGCTAAGACCATGTGGACCGATTCTGCTGATACATATTTTTTCCTTGCTGCAGAGATTGTTGAACTCTTTTGGACCTAAAGAAGGTGCATCGAGGCATGGCAAGGCGGCAGGTTATATAACAGTGAAGGACAAATTGATAGATATCGAGGTGCAGCTTGGCCGAGCCTTGCGGCTTAGGCACTTCCTGTGCTGACAGATGCAGACCGTATCTATGACGTCGAGGATTTAGATGCATCAGAGGGCTTCATCGCCGAACTCTTTGAGCTGAATACTCAGCAACCTGACATGCTATACATGTGTGACACATGACACAAGGTGCATGCTTTACAGAGCACTGTGGAAAATGTATATACCCATGTGCAATGCATGAATGTGCAATGCACGAAGGGCGCCGCCACGCAGAACTTATTGTGTATTTTGGATTATTTTGGTTGATCTACACAAACTCAAGAATTTGCATAGGGAGTGACTTTCTTAGGCCAGTGCGACGGCAATTCTTTGCCCAACCAGTTGTGCCTCAGGCACGATCACAAGAACAAAATTTGACAATCAGGACATGATTTTGGGAAAGTGCTGCACTGACGCGCAGGACATTCTCTTTTTCCTCCAGGAAGAAATTCCAGAAGGAGCAGCCCTGATCTGAGGGAAGTACCACACCTTGCCACACCTGCCAGCGCTGAATTGTGTGCCTTTTACTTTTGCAAAGTTTCACAAGGACCCAAAAACCCAAGGCTGTGGCTATGCTGACAGGGGTGCATCCCAGGCAGAAATTCTGTTTCCTGTTTACGTAGACACGGATGAATTTCGGAGCCGCAGGATTCGTGGACGCGTGTGGAAAGAGGTTTTGGTATTCCGGGTGCAGAGCCCAGCATTGACTATGAGGGTGCGGCTTTACGACAGCTTGAAGACTACGCAAGCTGGCTAAGCAAGCAGCTGTTTTACAGCCCATAGGAGCTCCGTGTTGTTCACATCTATGGCATCCTGAACTATGGTGGACAGTGCAAGTACCCCAGAATTTGCGTGCAGATTTATGAAAATAGGCTGTTCAGGCTCTGCTGCGCCTGTGCCACTCAATGGTCAATCCTTCAGTCGTCTAGTGTCCATGGCTTAGGCTACCGGCGACTGGAGTACACGACGAACTGCAAGTACGCATTGTCAGGCATTTGCGCTAATACTTTGAATCCATTTTTGTAGACTGTGGACAGCAGGCTTTATGGACTACTTGTTCTAGAAGCCTCACAGATCCAGTTGCTGTAATTGTAGTAGGCCTGCAGCCGGCTTTCCAGAATCGACCATCACCGTGGCCAGAATGGGGACGTCATCAGGCAGCTTTGACTCTTCAAAAGAAGAATTGATAAGAGTAGAAGAGTTGTAATAGCCAACCCAATGGCGATGGCCTCCAACCTATCAGCGATGGCCTCCAATCTAATTGGGATGGCCTCCAACCTAATAGCGATAGCCTCCAACCCAATGGCGAGGGCCTCCAACCTACCAGCGATGGCCTCCAACCTGATAGCGATGGTCTCCAACCTAGTAGCGATGGCCTCCAACCTAACAGCGATGGCCTCCAACCTACTAGCGATGGCCTCCACCTACTAGCGATGGCCTCCAACGTACTAGCAATGGCCTCCAACCTATCAGCGATGGCCTCCAAGCCAATAGCGATGGCCTCCAACCTAGTAGCGATGGCCTCCATCCTAGTAGCGACCGACGGCCTCCAACCTACTTGCGATGGCCTCCAACCTAATAGGCATGGCCTCCAACCTAATTGGGATGGCCTCCAACCTGATTGGGATGTCCTCCAACCTAGTTACTAGCGATGGCCTCCAACCTATC